GAATACAGTCATATGTGAAATTGTCTATACGATTTATTATGGCGTTGTGGTTGGTGCGTAACGGTGGATGAGTTGTTTAATGATACATTACATGGACCTTGACATTGCCTGCTATTACTACGGAATGATGTCTGACGTGAAGTGTCTGTACGTTGAATCGATTGAATGCCTCCTTGCTGGAACAAATCACGGGCGCTACATACTACAAATCACATCAAATAACTTTGTTTTCGATCATGTACCAAACTTCAGGAGTCTATTTTTAGCGCTACGTGGTTTCGACAAAGTCCATAAAATATTAATCTGGAGGCGGTAGTGTTGTTACATGTTCTTAGGTATTCTCGTTAATGTCTGTACATTTTCCATCTGTAATGTTCGGTATTTTTGTTAATAATGCTCACCATTCCAACCGCATTCGTGCCTTTTTACGTTTGTTCCACAGTTATACGATGTGTGTCTCTTCTTTGACGATGGTTTATCTTTAGAACATTGGTTTTTTTGTAAGTCCAAAAATTGGACATGAAACTTCAACAACCAGAAACGCACATATCGTACAATACTAGCAATGAAATAACGCATTAAAGACGCTGAGCTCGAAACGAGTAGCCTGTAGAACAGTACGATTTCGATCAATTCAAAAGAAAAAAAATTCGGAAATGTAAATATTTAAATTGTATTTCAAACGAGACTTTCTTTTGTTTCTTTCGCAAAAAAAGATGTGAATAGCAATAATCCTTGAGATCGGTCATTTATATTTGAGCTCATAGGTTTTATCTGAACATTTTATGTTTTCCGCTGTTTCACGTTTTGAAGCCGGTTCAAGTAGTGACAGATAGAGAGGTGAGAATTGTTTTGCTTCATTGGAATTGCCTTTTTGAATCAATCAAAAGCCAGAAAAAAAATGTTTCTTTTCGTTTTTCAAAAGCTATTTTGAAACTAAAAACCATCGTTGTTGTGTCAACACATCAAAATAACTCGAGAATTTCTTGCGAAAGAAATGTTCAAGTTTTGGGAAATCACCTGTGCAAAGTTAATTCTGGAATGGATTGGCTTGGCTTGGATTTGCAGCCAGTTTTTTTCTTCTTTGAACAATATAATAATGAACGGATAGAGTGACTGTTCGCGTGGCGCGGTTTCTTTATGCATTCATTGCGAGGGAATTTTCGGCCGTTATTAGTTGAATAACGTGCTGGTTTCTTTTTTTGTGTGCGTTGAATCATGACGCTACATGATCGCGACATCATTATTCGGTCAGAGAATGCATCATTTTTTGTTAAATCATCCACTATTTGTGGCTATTATTCGTTGGTCGTTGACGATGTCATTTCGCTTTGCCTCTTTGTTTTCTTTTCGTACAATTACTAATTTTGACAATGGCAACGTTTATTCAGTTGTCATAATAAAAATCATTTTATTGTCCCGGCCTTTAAAAGCCGTACATGATGCAAAAAACACATTTTCAGAATCCGCATCAAGCCAATGGCTCGGCCAAAGTACAATTGTTTTAGCAACAACAACAACAACAACAACAACAAAAAGCGGTAGTGATGTATAGACAGTCTGAATGACAGTGCTTGCTTAAAAATAGTTTCTGTGGATTATATTATCGCTTGGTTTCAACACTCCACGAAACACATTTTATGTCTTTTGTCGCATCTCAGTATATTTATGCCGAAAATTTAAATTCACAAAACCCGTCGACAACTCGATCTTATGCTAATTGCTCGCATATATTCTCCTCAAACGCTGCGATGGTGTGACCGCTTGAGAAGAAACAGTGACCAAAGCAAAAATACTAAAAAAATAAAACTATCATAGTTCATTATTAGCTCGCGACGAATCAATTTTATGACCAAACAAGAAATAATCTCTTTTGCGAGAAGGAGAAACAAATCGTGAAACATAAGACGCTAAGAAATCAATTTCGATTGACGTAGCTATAAATAACGGCGCACACTTTTCGATCGTTAGTTCGTGGTTAACAATAGTCTCGGGATAAAGAGTCAACGACAGGCAACGATTCTCGGTCGATTTTGTTTTTGGGGTTGTAAATATCGGATGTGTGCGCATTTGACGCAAATCCCGGTGAATTCATTTTCTCGAAATGATTCTGAGCTACGTGCCAAATGGCAGTCGTCGCATCGAAATGAAATCGACATTTATCATATCTGAGGAAGATGCTGGCTCCAGTATAAACATTGAACACGCGTACTGCGTGTTCTTTTGCTGATATCGCGAGACTCGTTTTTGCGATGCATGGACAGCGACCGAAACAAAAACTGAAAACAATCTCACCCAATTTAAAAAAAAATATCAATGTTTGGCCGCTTGGGTAAATAAATGGAATGTAGTTCATGTTTAAGAAGAAACAAAAACCACGAATTTGCGATTTGTTCAGATAAAAGTTATGATTACACAAGGCTCAATTATTTTCGTGTGTTTCAAGAACATTTCCTGTGGTCGCTGCATTCCAGAGCCAGCCGACCAAAATGTTAACGTTTTAATGTTCTCAGCTCGCCTTTATCAGAGCATTTATTTACTCTGCGATACTTCAAATGCCACGCACATTCACGCGAAAATGTTTTTAAACGGGTTGTACAACAAAATTCTAACCAGAACATAAAATAAAGTCAACTAGCTTCCCGTTTTCGGTTGTGCAAGTGAATCACTTTGTTCTCGTTTCTCTGTTTCCGACTTGTTCTTTTCATGTTCTCGTTTCTTCTTTCGTTTTTGATTGTCGCATTTGGAAAAACACAGAGGCCACAACAGCCCGAATAACAAGCGAATAAAAGTTAACCGGAATCAAGTAAACGGGAACGGGAACAAGTGCGTGCACAAAGAGATGAAATAAATAATACCTAAATCCTGGTTCATTGAGGGCCATTTGCCAATATCGGTTCGTATCAGTTTGTATTTGTACATGATAGGTAGCCAATGAGCGAACCAGACTGTGAGGCGGCTAAGTAGTTTAGCTACAGTTTGAATGGCTCACAGAGAGCAAAAAACGCTCTTTTTAGCATTTAACGCAATGGAAATTTTCCAGATAGCTATTTTTAGTGCACGGTTGTTTTTTTGTTCACATCATTCTGTGTTGTGACTGACTTACAATTCCGGTTGCGTGCTCAGGTGCTTACGACGCGACACCGGTGTGTATTCTGGTGAAGCTATTATACACTTCACGACAATCAATTTCAATAATGCGCATCCTTTTTCGTAAATTACGATCTTACGCTTTTATACTTACCTTACTTGGAGATCGCAAATTGTTATTCTCCACATGATAATGCAAAAATTATTACAATGAGCAGCTATTCACTTTATTGCAATTTGCAATAACTAACACAATGTGTGGCTTATATCTTTTGGAGAGATAGACCTTCAAATTGCGCGCACTCAATCGAATATATCGATGCTTTGACGAATTGCAAAAAAGAAAATCAATTAATTGTCGATCAATTTGTTTGTGTCATTTGCGCACATTTTGACTTTCATAACTCATCTCAAGCGTTATTAGCAATGAGACTTACTTACTGAAGTGGTTTCAGTGACACAATGATAATGCGATGCAGGCCTACGTTCGACACGTGTGCGGTGTTTTATCGTTCGACGATTAAAAAAAAGCAGCCACAAATCAAAATAGGCAGTAACAGATTTTTATTTTAAGCATTTCGACTCAAATACGATTTATTTATATGTTGCTTAATCTCGATATTTTTTCTCTTCGTGGTTTTATTCCACATCAAAGTCCAGCAACGCATCTGTATTACGTTTGTTCGCAGAACTCGCGACAACAATAAAGAACTGGAAAATGTTATGAGTTAATCAATAAAACGGTTGATTTATGATGAAATTCAGTGGCAATTATCAGCATGTATACCACAAAAGGCAAACAATGTCAACCTTTTTTTTCGCGGCCATGAACCAAAATGAAATTATCAGAGCGATGCTGGAAATTGTGTCCAAGTTCCTGCAAACGAACACCGTCAACGTTCAGTAATTTTTATCATATATCAATTAGTCAACACAATTAATAATAACGATATTTACATTCCCATTGTGCTTTTTTTTTTGGTTGGCACAGTGTGTTTACATGTACCATAATGAAATGTGGCTTCTGTTTGATGGAGGTTGCATCATCGGTCAACGATGGTGTGGGCATAACAATTAATATTTATCACATTGTTTATGCGTCATTAAGATTTTTCTGCAGTGCAATTATCAAAGTACATTAACTGAAGTACCCACCATTGCACAGTTATCATCAGTCGGTGGTTCAATTAGTCACTCTCCTAGTCTCATTCCCTTGCGTTGCACTCACTTGCATTGCTTCGCTAATTGTATTCAATGGATGCAAGATAATTATAAGTCTTACGTCAATGACTAAGCATGAAGAAAAACAACGAAAAATTACCGCATCGAAAGTTTAAATTGAAATCCAGCTTCATCTTGAAAAATTGCTAATTTTAGATTAAAAATTCAATTTGCACGCGCATAAAAATCCTCTTAAAATTGGAAGCATTTCGAAGTAAAATAGAAAAGTAATGGGCATATCTCGTGTATCAAACTGATTTTGGTTTGTAACATGAAGCCAGCTAAATATAGTATGAAATTGACAAATCATCTGGCATCCAGGCGTTAATCGCCTCTTATGCGTTCGAATTTTTTTAAACTATTTCAATGAAAATAGGAATTATTGCCAAGTAAAAGACTGTGTGCGATAGTGTACTTGAATGATGTAACATTCGAATTGTTTCTTTAGATCGAATTCATTGCCATTTGTGCATTGTCACGTAAGAGTGTGTCCATAAATATTTTCCCATTGCGAACAATCGATGTACGTAATAATAACCCACGAAGAAAGAAAGGCAGTTATTTGAATGAGAAAATGCAGTGAACTGAATTGAATTGAAAACAAACAAAAAACGTCCAAACAAATGCGTCATAAATAGAAGTCTTTCTTTTATTTTTCCTTAAAAATCTCTAATCAATAGCAAATTTACCATTCACATGTGTAGTATTTTTTTTATCACTTTTGCACTTGACTCTTCCGTGGATTTGCCTGTGTTGTCGTGTGTATGTGAGCCTTGGTGCGACAGGTCTGTTTCCAAAAATTCTATATTTATTCAAACGATATTCAGCTATACTGATTTCGACTTTGGGTTTTGGAACTTGTGCACACTAAAACACTTGCTACACCGTATCACTTTCGAATCGATATTTACTCGTCATTCGTTGTTTTTGTTGTTTTTTTTTCTTCGTTGCTTTGAATATTCGAAATAAATAATAAAAATGTGATTTTGCATTAAAATACACAAAATCTGATGATTTGTTATTTATTTTGTTGATCGTCAGCGTATCTTTGTTTTTACCACATTTATTTCGTCAATTAGATAAAGACACAGATTTGTATTTTTTTGTTTTCCTCTTGTCCTCATCTGTGTCATGTAATATATTTTTCTGTTGATTTGTTCATCATAGGTCGTATTTCATCGGTATTGATTACAACGCGATCGGGACCGAACTGTGTGTCATGTTCTTTTTTTTTAAACATTAAAAATTAACGTAAACAAATTTATACGAGTTTATTTTTTTGTCATCCTTTTATTGGCTAATAATATATTTTTATCTCGTTGAAAATACCATTTCGATTACAAGAATTTCCGGATGAACTATCGAATCGAAACCAATTAATTTATCGCTTGTGTTGCCGTTTGTCGCGTTGAATCATCTTTGATATCTTTACAATATTATCCAATCCAATGAATCTCAAACACTGTATGACAACATTTAAGTTATTCCATTTGGACAAAATCTCGGCTATTTTAATGAGCTAGCCATATCTCTTTCTCTCTCTTTGTATTGTTGAGCACACGAAAAAAAAGAACAATTTAAATAGAAATCACACACGCGCCTATCAAATAATATAATCACACATTTTTTTGCATATACTTTTTTATGAAAAAAAAAACTATAGTTTGATTGGATCACATTGACACACTGAATGAATTATTATTGAACGCCGATTTTAATACGTTTCGTGTAGTCGAGAGCATCGACAATCTTCGATCGAATCCGATTATTTAAAGTCGAACAAAAAAAAAACGATATAAAACAATGAAATGTACTGTGTGCACGAGCGTCAGGTAAATAACAACAAATGGACGCTTTTTTTCCCCCAGTATTTCACATCAAATTGTTGCAAACAAGAAACACTGAATAAAATAAAATTGTGTTTTTAATTACGCGCTTGCAGGCAATAAAAGATCGCGAATAAACCACTTATTTTGAAATATACATGGGTCGTTTCCTCTGTGTCACCATTCTTCTTGCCACGCGCAACAACAAACCGAGACTAGCCGCATTCAAGCTGAAATTCAAAATTTTATTCAACAAAAACACCGAAAACGAAAACAGAAACGAGCAAATCAAGTGAAAGAGGGAGAGAGAACGAGCGAGTTTATGAAAAAAAGAGTTGGTTTTCTTCGTCTGTCTTTCTCTTACGCCTTCATTGATCACACATCTGAGTGTTAGCACAGTGGCGGCTAAAACAAATACAAACGCTTGCAGCGGTAGTGGTTGTGTGTTGTATTTTTGTTTCTGTTTTTCTGTTTCGTTTTTGTTCTTCTGTTTGTTTCATCGATTTGACACAATCTCATTCATTCGCAATTTTACAAAAGTGTTAGTTGTTTTCGTATCGGCTTGTATTGTTCTACACGTTATACACACGTGATAGCGAATGCATCGCTAATCGTAACCAATACGTTAATAGATTTCGATTCGCGGCGGTTTTCATGACTCTCGTCCGCTTCTATTTCTAATCAAGTGAGTAATGGAACAGTGAGTAGAACTTCCGTATACGTAAGCGTCATACATTCTTTATAAAATACACGACAAACGTATCGGCATTATCGTCACTTTGATTACTCCAGCCCCTGTGTGTCTCTGTGCATATATAAATCGAAAATGGATTCGTATACGTTTCGGTGGAATCAAAAGTTCTCTACTTAAAAACGCATGAACATGTGCCGCTTTCTTTTTCTAAATCGATTGATTCACCAAATAATCGCGACTACTCGACACTGAACAACGTGACTTATACGATGTATTTTTATCAAAATTTCAATGATAGCCAACGGAAACAACGACACCAATTCAGAGCAGCTTTTCGGATCGGGACATTTGTTTACATTTTTATATTTATCTTGTAGATGAAAAAGCGTGGGTCATGCATGAACCGCTGAAATGTATATTCAATAGAACAGCTGTACGCGCGCTTTCAATCAAATGGCATGGTTACACATTGTGTAGACGAGACGCTGTGCAAGCGGTATGCTCTCTGCCAACGTGTTGAATGTTTGCGGACACGGTGAATGAATTCATACATACACTCTCGCACAACCGTGTGGAACACATTCGATGCGGTTGGTGTCTTGGCTAGCCGATGTGTGGATATCGTTCTTTTCACACATATCTATTACTGATATATGGGATTCATTCAAAATTGATTGGCAATCACATCATTTATTCTTTTTTTGGATTCAAAACGAAAACAATCAAATAAAACGGGATGGCAACTAATTAGTAGCACTCATTCCCATTCATTCTATATTTGTATACAGCAAGAAGCATCTCCATGTCTATTTCATTCAAATCGTTGACAACAGCAGAGAGAAAAAGAGACGTTAAATGAAGGCAAACAAAAAATCACGGTTTATTGCTAAAAGTGTTTGTTTAACAACATTTGGCTTTGTCCAGAAATATGTCCGGTCGATAAATTTATTTGAATTGGGAAAATTTTATGCAAATGAATATTAGAATTAACACAGACCAACCGTTGTCTGTGTTTTCATCTCTCATTCATTCCGCTTCTTTTTGTCTTTCTCGTTCTATTTTTCCACATAGTCTGAAATTTCGAATTTTTTGTTCGTTCAACTCCACCTTCCGACGAATCTAATCTAACGATTTTCGAATGCCAATAAAAACGCATTGAATCGTTGTGATTTTTTGTTCTTTGCCGGTATTGCTTGCAAAAGAAGTTAATCATAACCGCTTTAATCGAGTGTCTCCGTGAATACTGATTTGAATAATGTGCAAACGGTGAAAGGAACGTTTTGTGAGATGAAATGCAAGTGTACTGTGTGCAAACAAACATAACAAGACCATTGACGTTGATGCTGTGTGTATGTGAGTTTGTGCCGTAGCACACGTGAATCCTTTTATTCCGGAGAGGCGCCAACATGAATATAAAATTATTCCACTTTCATTTTTTTTCTCTCTCTCTCCATTTTGCGCCGTCAACAAAATCGTATGAATAACAAATGCAAAAAATTGAGAATGGATAAAAATTCATGATCACGACATCGCATCGCAAAAATACGATTGAATTTTTACTTTTTTTCCTTTTCATTGCAATACACTACATAAATTGTAACGCTTTTGATTCGAATCGGAAAAGTGAATAGACGATAAAAGAAAAGAAAAAAAAAGTGTAATATCCAATGTGTACTCACTGGCTTGATCCAGTCCAACTTCTCGTTTTAAATTTTCGGTCGTGTTTGAACTGAGCGCCGAGTCGGTTGCGAACGATGAGTATGTGATGTTTTTCTTACGGTATGTATTTGCCATCGTCTGCATCATAAGATGGCATGTATGCAATCCACCGACATTATAGTGTCCGTTGCGGTCGTAAAAGAAAACCACTCGATGCCATCCATAGCTGGGGTATTAAATGACGATGACCGAAAATGAGAAGAAAAAACAAAACAAAAAAAGAAAATGAGAAAAATAGGAGTGGAAAGGAAATGTCGAAATGAGTAACGATCATCCGTTTCAATAGTTGATTTTTATGTTTATGCTTTGGTATTGGGATTATTATTTTGATGTTAATATAATAACCATGTCAACGGCATGCGACCACAACGAAGAATGATGAAGACATTTGATGTATGTCTGTGCGCGCAGCGCATATGAAAGGGATGTCATGAGCGCGGTTTGGATTGTATTTTACCATGGTCAATAGAACCGACACTCTCCATCCAAACCAAAAACAATAACAAAACGAAGACAAACAACAAAATACAGACAATAATATTTACTAGGTATTTATTAATGGATGAAAACAATATCTCGTGTATTCAACACAGTGTGTTGTGCTCGTGTTGTGTCTGGGTATGGGGAACATGATATTTTTATTTGTTTATTCATCGTATATGCTCGTACGATGGCATTTATGCACAAACATGCCTAATTGTAATTGTTATCCAATCGAATGATAGGACCAATACCGAGAACTGATGGCAAATGAATTGGTCACTTTTGAATAAACAAACAAGACATTAAAACATAAATAAATTTTCTCTTGAGCTTTCATGACATAATGAGGTTGTGGTATTGTTCTTTACTCTTTTTTTTTTCTCAGAAAAATTCCCTGGGATACTTCTTTTCTCCTTTAAAGATCAAACGCAAACCTAAATGGTAGTTCCCTGTTTGATTTCCGTTTGCGATTTTTCACGGCTTTTCGATTTCGATTCATTTCATTGTTCACAAATATTGACTTAGTTTTCGTCATCCATCATAATCCGAATGCTATTCTTCCATTGTTATTGTTTTATGTTCAATATATTGCCATCAAAATAAAAAGGGCCGCTTCTTTTAGCTCTGCGCTTTGTTAGCTGAACGAGGAAGTTGAGAGGCGACATTTCCTATTACAGAAGATTGAATGAAATTTGCCAACCATACAACAGTCTCAACGGGTCTACTGAGCTAAAGTGGTTTTAATCTGCATAAAAGCAACTTAAATCAAAATCATCATAAATGTCTGAGAAAGAGGATATGTACCAAGGGATGGGTGGATAAAGCAAATTTAAAAAAGGAGTACAAAAGCTCATAAAGCATTTCTTGGTATGGAAAAAGCTGTGAATAGTGAGCGAATTATTGGAAAGCAAATTAAATGTTCATTGCATCATAAACGAACCGCAAGACCTCGCCTCGTTCATAAAGCGTAATTTCACGTAATCATTGTTCAGAGCTGCTCCTTTTTTTCTTCTTCAATCAATAAGTTGCACTCGATTAAATCAATGTGAAATGTTGTTGAAATGGTTGTCGGTTACTAAGCGAACAACCATTTAAAATGGAACGAAAAAGGAAAATAAAATTGGACCTGCCGTTAAAAGGAACCGCTATTAAAACGAGAAACCGCAATTTTTTCTCACGAATATGGTACAATTTCCGGAATGCTGACGACCAAAACGCCAACTGGAAAATGTTTATGAGTGTTTTGTGTAAGAGTGTGTGAAAAGTGTCATAAAAATTGAACGAAACACATAAAAGCTACTTACGAATGAAGAACGCAGAAAAAAACGCGACAGAAGGAAATGGATTGCAAAATGCAGTCTTTTAAATAACTGATAAGCGGAATACGGTACTATTTACTCACTTTTTCATAATGTCAGCCGTAAAATCTGCAATTGTTTCAAAGCTCAGCAGACCCACCCTGATGAGCATATGATATTCGTTGTCACAAGTCGTTTTATTCTGCACAAAATCGTATGTGTAACCGCCAACTGTGATCAAAGGAGTGCCATCCTGACGAAAGTACTTTGCAATGCGGCTGACCGGTGCTGATAAATGAAAGACGAAAGACCGAAAATGAATGAATGAATGAATGACCGAACATTTATATTAAGTTAATTTTTCACGTCATAGCGCAATTTTCGGCTGCTTCACTATCTTGATGGACATTGCCAATTTTTCTCTCTCTTCATTTTCGTCACGATTATTTCACTTCTTTTTTTTCTTCACTCTCATCTCGTTACAATCATATTGTCGCCCCTTTTGGAATTTATGTTTTTATAGAGAAACAGCATCACACGCTCGCAAGTGTCTGGACGAGAAATGTTTCGAAGCGAAACGGAATTTATCTGAGCGAAGAAATTTACTCAGCCAGAAACAGAAGAAAATGGCAAACCAAAAAGAAGCCGCTGCTGTCTGCATCCTCTCGTTGAAAATCTTCTCTTTTTTTTCTCTTTATCTTTGATACGTTACACTAATGCTATCATAACTAAAACTCGAATGGGATATATACATGTACACAAAAATTGACCATGTCTAGTCATGCTTCTCCGCCTCCTCAAACTCGGTAACATTGTCACAGATTTCAATCGTCAAAACTATTTCAATGTTTGCCCTTTCATTGACGCTTCATTGAAAAACGGAACGGAGCTTTTATTTCATTTTCCATTTGCTGAAATGGCTGAACCAACAAAAATGAAAAATGGCAAATATGCGTGGGTTGCAACGAAATTTCGTTTCAATGGATGAATTGCGGATGTGAGGGAGAAAAAGGTCACTTTAGAAC